GCTTACAACTGTCTCTGGAAAGTGAAGCACCCGAAAATAAATTAAGTCATACGCAGCCGTCATACGTATGCAAGGAAGTAAGCACAAGATGCCGAACACCCTTAGCAGGATGCAGCGCACCCTTCATGCGACTCGCCGAATATCTCACGGCGCTTCGCGCTTGGTGATGTGAGAGCCTGGTCCGGTGAGAACCCGGCGTGCTCCGTCCCGGCTTTGTAGGGATGCGAGGTCAATGGTCTAACGACTACGGCATGCCCGACTATGAGTACCCCCCCCCCCCCCCCCCCCGCTACGGTGCTTATTGGTGTCTGGAAGGCTTACCCGTCAGCTGACAATATATTGGGTATTTTGTCTAGCAAAGGATACACGCACGGGTTCGAATCCCAGATGGATCATCTTCGAATGCACCATAAGCTCTTTTTCCGGAAACGCGTGGCGAGGGGTCCGTCCCCGGAGATCCCTACTTCTGCACTTACTAACTTACTTACTAATGTGGCACGTGCGTATGCGCATGTACTGCAGAATGCACACACACAACACGTACCTCGAAGCCGTGCTCAAACGCTGCCAAATCACCGCTCTTCTCACGCGCCGGGTCGTAAGAGGTAGCTGCAGAAACCTCTTGATATCCCACACCAGCAGTACTGATAGTAAAATATTTGCCATGGCCACTATCGCATAGAGAGTCACCAACACATTAGTCAGGACACAGCTCGGATTCCCAAAGGGATCGATACTGGAGAATCGTTCATCATCGCACAGGCATTTCTCGTCCACGGCGGGATTGCCCTCTCCTAGACAGGTACCTAACCCACCCCATAAGGGATGCCTGCAGGAATAAATACAACTTTCCGTGGGCATCGAGTGCGGTGAGGCCGTGGTAGCACAGACCCCCCCACGCACACACGCGCACACGCTAGCTAGCACACGCTCAATACACGGCAGATTAGCGGTGCAACTATTAACTGCTGTACATACGCGAACCGGAACTTGCGCATTCAGTTGCACCGCACCTTGTCACCCTGTTCACTCTTCACTCTGCACTCTGTACTGTGCATTTGTGGCTCGTGGTTCGTGGCTCTGGTTCTCCTGAGGTTTTAGCTATGAGGTGCACAGCTTTTGGTTTTCTGTTTCTCTGTCTCTCTGATGGACTGAACAAAAGACCCCAATAGCCGATCGTACTCCCACAACCAACCTGTACCGCCGATCTCGATCGTCTCGATCCATTTTTTGCAGCATACCGAAGAACAGAATGCCGTACAGTCCAGTTGACAACGGCCAGCGCCATGCCTCCCTTCCCAGCCTGACAGCCCGAATCAATCATTTTTTGACGCCGAAATTAAAACGGCCGCGAATCGCGCCGCATTTTTGCCGCTCACCCATGCTACCGTCACCCTTTGTATCCCGTTCCACATCACCATCCCTCCCGACAGCAACAACACAACTTGCTGCGGAACTCATTGCTCTGAGTTCGGAGTCCCGGGTGTCTGGGATCGTTCATCATCACAGAAAGAACAGATTCGCCGTGATCACTCGACTAGCCCTCCTCGTATCCCGAGCCAACCTTCTTTTCTCTGCGCTTACGACAACAAGCTGCCCGCCTCCAAACAGATCTGCTTGTGCATCTTTTCCCTGCGACACAGGTTTGTTTTCAGGTAATCCCTCCCCACACACCGGAGCAACAGCAATAACAAAGGTATCCGCCACGAGCTGTGTCCATGCTGCGTCTTGTGTCTTGACTAAGATCGACCGAGGAGGCTGTAGGACGCTGAGAAATTCCGGGTGCGAGTGTCTGGAACAGCGTGAAAGAAAACCGCCGCGTCTCCTGGGGTTTATTCGTATCTGTTTGCCCCAGGTGCAGGTTTGGTTTACCGATGATCCCTCCCCACACACCTAGCAACGGAAATGATAACGATATGGATATCCACCACGAGCTGTGTGGATGGCTCCCTTCCCTCGCCAGTGCTGTCTTGCCCCTGCCAGCGGTGTTGCATGTTTAGCTGAGTGCTTCCTCTGTTTTTCTTGGTTGGAACCACGCAACTGCACGTGTGTGCGCTTGGGAGGTCTCGAGTTTTAGTTCCTCTTCTATGGTACCTCTCTACAACTCCCCGGGGAAAGGAGTAAAAACATCATATGATTTTGGGAATAACAGGACAAATGCCTGTCAAGCACGGCCATCTATTGTCGGAGCGCGACGATACTGGTGTGACGAAGAGTGCCCTATTGTTCTTCCTCCTTACAAGCCAGCAGATCGTAAATCGGTGCTCTATATAACTCGTGCTGGTCGAACAAAGGCGGTTCTTTTCGGACGGTCCATAATTAGGCGGAAATCGCACAAGGGCCCCTACATCGCATTGGTTGGAAGAGCCCGATACATAAGGGCATTTTTTTCCCTCGGGGGGATGAAGGGAAACAAATATCACGCTTCGCGCTCCGCGGCTCATTGAAGTCCTTCCCCGTGGTATGTGCCAAACTTGTACTGTGCACATCAGGAATCCAGAGTCCCACAAGGACCGGGGCGGCCCCACATTGAAGGGCCAACAACCAGCAACCAAAGCTTCACCCCAGATGAGTACTTCTACAACAAAATTCTACAGCAAAGCTTCATTTAGTCCGGTTGCACATAAACATGAATTGTATGTATCCCAAAATCGCACATGTCCACCGCATCATGGCTCCACTCCCTTTTCGTCACCACCACCGTCAACAACCGCCGCCGTCGCCGCTTGAAGCTGAAGCACCGATCGCGCCCATTCCAAGGCTTCTCCCGACACTGGCACGTGCTCGCCCTCGGGGAGATCGCCCAGAAGAATTTTCCCGTACCGTTCTCGCCGCAGCTCGAGGATAGGGTATCCCGCGTTCGCTAACATCCTTTCCGGTGGTGGGGTTGTAGAAGGCGGAACACGGGGAACGCGCACAAGACGGGAACCAAAAGCAGCAGAAATGAGTCTACAACACAATCTTCGTTGGTTCAAAGACAGGCCGTCATGTTGTTCTCATCCTTAGATTAGATGTCCTTCTCTCTCTGTGAATATGTACATCAAAACAAGAAACCGCACGCTTTGTCAGGCCCCGACAAGAGCCATTCTGACCTTCGAACCATGCGGTTCTTCCCTTCTCGCACCACCACGCGCACATCCCGCCCGCTTATCGCCGGAACGTCCGCCCTGTAGACACCGTCTGCGGTTGTGATCCCTTCGTGGAGAGCCGTTACCAGCGAGTCTCCCGGCTCTTCTCCCTCCAGAGGCACGTCCACCGAGGCCACGTACTCGCGCTCCACCTCGAACCTGCAATATAAGCAAGTCCGCGTCGTAAGCACGTACCGTCCAGCCAAACACCGCGCTTGAGTGAGTGGCGACTGGCTACGGCTGCCAGACCGCATTGGCCTTCTTTCGAGCACACATTCAGATAAACGCGTCTATAAGATCCTCCAAGCGTGAACGAACATTTTGAGTACAAGGCCACGTCCAGAACAGAGAGAAAACCGGTAAAGGACGCCGCTGTCCAAAGGTACTACAAACAAAAACGGGTTTCCGGCAATAAACGGGATGGATGCAACTTTTCCGCGGTTCAGGCGACGATTCAGGTCCAAGGTACGCCACGCCTCTAGCATAGTTTCATCCAATCCTTCGGGCTCCCTCCCCAGGACAAGTCCCAATAGACTTGTTCCTGCTCGTTGCTTCATCAGTGTCATCTGGATCGCGAGGCATCGAGAGACAATTGCGATACTCATATTTTAATCCAAAAACGGCGAAGAGGCCTGTGAGAGTCCGCTCTAACCTCGGATTTAGCAGCCTGTGCGTGAGAGCTCCATCGCTGCTCAGCAACAGAAGGCCGCTGCTGTCTGCATCCAAGCGTCCCACTGGGTGGTGCCTGGGTGTGTTCGATGCGGGCAAATGGCCGTGCGATGTTTGAGAAAACGAGGGCAATCGATGTCTTCAAAGTGGTGTTGTCGCTCTTTGTTACTTTGGTTCCAACAAGGCCAGCTGCATCTACGCACAGCCGGTACTAGCTGTCGACGATTACCACGACAAACACGGAGGCCGTGCACGGTGTGATATGAGGCGAACGCCCCTCTGCGGAATGATCTGGTGCACCATTCTTGCTCTCTCTGTCCTCTCCCACTACGCTTGCTCTTCCCTCACCCCACCCCACCCCCCTTGTCCCCATTTCCTTTGGTCTCAACCCCACTTTTCGTTGTCTCTCTTCTCGTGCCCCTTCTCATGTGCCGTCCTCGTTTTGATTCGGACCCCCTCTTTGCGGTAATTTTCCATCTCCGTTCCACGACCCACAAGTCTCAATGGCTCCCTCCGTCTTCTCTAGAGCGCACTACGGTATCTCACTTGAGCAGGAGCGACTTGGGAAGCACATCGGACAAGTCTTCCCTGTCCCAGTCGTCGCTCAGAGTCGTTATTACGCCTTTGGGCTTGTGGAAAGCCACCAGGAGCGGGACGGGCCCGTGCACTTCTCCGTTCACCTAAGTTTACGAAGCGAAACCACACATTTAGGGCATGATTGTACCGGTGTGGTGATAGCAGCGGCCGGGACAACTACTTTCGATCGTGTCAAATACTTGTACATCTACCAGAAACGCTGCCGGGCGACGTCGACATCAAACGACCACCAAATCCCACCGAAAACGGAACGTCCCTCGGGGCACTAGTCGTAAATGTCCGCCATTAAATCACCAGCCCATCCCAAGATTGTGACGATGGACCACTGATTTGTGTCTTTCCGAGCAGGGAACACTGCCAATCTAGATCATAGCCCAAGGCGAGGACAGTTGGTGTATCTCCAAATTACCACACCGTGCAAGGTACCCACCTCTATTACGCAGTCCACCGGAAGCTTTGCCTTCGGGGACTTGACCACGGCACCATCTACCTTAACTCGACCCCGCCGCACCAATGTGTCCACCTGTAACGAGCATTATCGCCGAAAGGGCTACTTGGTGGACAGCAGTGCAAAACACCCACCGAAAACAGTCATGATTTCGACGAGTGAGTGTCGATCGGGTGCAGAACAACGTATGCAACTCGTATAGCTCCCACATCACGCCAGAGAATACTCGGAAGTGTAGGTTCGAGTCCTTCGCCTTTCTCGAACCATACGACTCATGTTTCCTGTCAACCGACAACCCGACGCCTCCGTATTCTGGCCCCCTCCTAGGTGGAAACACGCTGAGCGCCTTGAGCTCTCCGATCTTAAGACCTGCCGAAGGACTCGGAAAGTCTCTAGTTTGCGGTTCTATCAAGTAACAACAACACGTCCACAGTTTCCGAGCTGCGCTACGAGGGCATCAACGCCACGCTGGCCGACTGGCAAAAGGTTGCAACATGGACACCGCCGTATTCGAGTGGCGCACCAACTACTCCAAACTGGACTGATTGGTACAAAGGTGTGGGTGGCGCGTACCTCACTTCTGGTCCCGATCGCTCTGTCCGCCAGAAGCTTTGAGAGCCTCAGCAGCCGTGCACCGCCGCCTCGTGGGGCACTCCTACTTGCGGGTGATGGTGGTGGTGGTGATGATGGTTCGCCTTTAACTGGCTTGCTCTTCTTGCTTTTGTTTCTGACGCTGCCACGCTCACGGGCCGTTCTCAACGACCTCAGATTCAGTTTAGCAGCTGTTGCTGGGAGCGTCCCTGGGTCATCGTCATTCCCGTCAAGACGACCACCACCACCCGTTGACGCTGCGCTAGCGCCTCCAGCACCAACGCTACGACTGCTTGCCAGACGACGAGTAGAAGGAGCGGTGGCCCTACAATTCCTTTCCGCGTGCATGAATCCTGCTTGCGATTCTACGGAGGTTGCCACCCTCCCGCTTGTCCAAGGGCCGCGGCTGAAGTATCTGATAGATCGACAGGCATGCATACCGGCCCCAGCTGTGTCAAGGTCTCTGCTGCAGAATGGCCAGGCAGCGGAGGGGCCGCGGAATCTCAGTCTCCTCCCATTTTGCTTGGCATGCAGCCGGCTGCTGGAACTAGAGTTCTCACCATACGAACGACAACGACGACAGCAGCTGCAGCAGTAGCCAAAGGAGGACAAGATTCGGATTTGCCGGACCGAATAAAACCTTGGAACATGGACGGACCAGGCTGTGAATAGTCGAGTGGCGAAGCGGTTCAACACCGAAATTGATAAATATATCTGAAAGGCATGAAGAAATTTCTTGCCCCCGATTGCATGTCTCGTACACGTAATAACGGTACATCGGTCGAAAATTTGTTGCTTGGTTACGAAACAAAGGTGTACGGTGACTGCCTACAGTCTTGTACTTTACCAGAGGTATTTTGCTACAAGTTTGTTTTGTTGGACAGCATGAAGTCCATTGGCCCTCGTGCCGCTCTTGTGTCATTTCTGTCCCCGTCTATATCTCTATATTTTTTTTCTCCCATCATTGGACTCTGTCGTCTGCCCCTCTGGCCCCTATCCTCCACTTCTACTAGCTAGACGACCCAACCGGGGTCACATAGGAGTGTAGACTGATTTTGCCTGTGGACACCGGTGAATACAAGCAACCGAACCAAGCCGTTAGACTTAGTCAGCGGCTGACTCGTCTAATATACTTTGATTTCGGTTGCTCGTGGGGTCCGAATGACCCGATACTATCGCTTCCAACTAGAGAGTCGCTCCCCTACTCAATGCTGGTTTGCTCAGGCAACCGGCCCAACCCGATTGATTCTGAGTGGTGGCGGTAAAAAAGGTTGTACCCATTACAAGTCAGGGCTGGTCGGAGGGGGATGCACGAGTTGTAGACTGCTACAGTATGCATTTTGTGTGTAGCGATTGCAGACCTAGTTGTTACCGGCACCAATAGCAGAGCCCATGTAGTTCATAGAAAGCAAACGGTTGTTGTCCGTTCGTGCCCCCCAGACGCGGCACGGCCGGACCTCAATGGTTGTGATATTTATTTGCCAAACCCTGCGAAAGAAACATCACATGCAACGTTTGCAAGAGAGCAGCATGTATAACTTGTAGACCAGTGAGCTCAACTCTAGTCAAGCTGGCATGTCTTGCACTCGGTTTCCCCCGATACACAGCAGTCGAGGTACACACTGAATGTCTCCCACCTTTGTTGTGTGGTGCATCGCCGAATGCAGGGAACGGCGGGAGCGGTCAGCCAACACGACGTTGGTAGGTTTGCTCCTGTTGATGTTACCGATGAGGACTCCCACCCCCGTGCGAGAACTAGCTTGAGGGCTAAGGAAAAGGCTGTCAGAGACGATGAGAAGGAGGAGGCCGCTCCTCCTCCTGCTACTGCTCCTGCCGGCACAGCTCTGCGGGCGATAGGCAGCAGCCGCTCTCCAATCATGTTGAACACTCTGTCCGTCCCTCTCCTTTCGAAATGCCAAGCGTTTCCACAGCCGCTGCGTAGCCCTTCCGACTTTCCTGATGACGTTGTTCAAATGGACGAGGAGGATGACCGTCGCCACTTTACCTGCTACGGACAAGCAAGCAACAGCACACAGCAGAGTCGTGGCAGTCGTGGTCCAGGGTCACTGGTCGCATCGTCGCATCGAGAGAAGGGGCCCCGTCGTCGTGGTGAACCAAATATTTTTGTTGTATTTGTGTCGAGTTCTGGTGCCGCTTCGGGTCGCTGTTGTTTGCCGTTCGAGCGTAAAAAAAACAAGTTTCTGTGTTTCTAGAAAGTATGCTATTCCACCCCCACCCCCCGTCCAACCCTCTCGGAAGCGGAGAGCAAAACAACACCACAGAGCCCACCCGGTACCGACACGAGGACCCGCGCAAGCTACGGTTAGGACAACCAACACAGGAGATTGACAGGGTGCCGGGGACGGTGGAAGGCAGGAAGATGTGTGATATATGCTTATGCACGGCGGGAGGTGCTGTATTTTTCGAGAATCCTTTCCTCCACAGCAGTGTGCACAGCCCTGCACCACCAGCACCGAGCTGGTTACTGCACGCCAACTAGCCCTAGCGCAGGAAGGGACAGCCATTGTTGACTGCAACCTCTCTTGCCGGACTGCTCTATGTATGCCACGCCGTTTGGTACCATGGAGTGTACGTAGTCTACCTATGGAACGTCGCGGAATGGACGCTACAGCAGTACACGGCATGTCCCAATACCCTGCTCTGCCAGGGCTTGAGGCAGATCAATCCCATAACATTGATAAGATACACGACAGAAAGACCCGTACGTACCGAGGACCAACAGCAGACATAGAACGGGAAACGCTTTTGCGTCATTTCGATTCGCTCGGTACTGTCGCGTGCAATATGCCTACGTCCCCCACGCCTACCTGACGCAAAATACGCCTCACCATTTCCAGCGGTGTATGCGTACAGCAGTAGCAGCAACAGCAGCAGCCCCCTCTCGCGGAATACACACAGCAGCGAGACTAGGGCGCACACCCTATGGGCATATGCCAAGAAGGAGCACTGCTGTAGGAGGAGCACTTCTGTACTGTTTGGATATCTCATCGTATTGTAACGCTGACCTGCTGTGTACTGTAGTACTTTTACAGGATCGTACTTCCACAAACTGCCGCCGCCAGGCCTTTCTCTGGTCAATCAGTGGAGATGTAGGGGAACTGCCTGTTGGATGAGTCGAGACCGCATGTCGGAGCACAGACCATCTACGCTACAATTGCACGTCAGGCTCCTGTAGCGGCGAACCAAAATATAGGTTTGTAGAAGGCTGTGTGCACGTATTCGGCAGCTTATTGCGCTGACATAACTAAGGCTGGTGCACCTCTGCCGATGTGCGGACAGCGCAGCATTATTATTCAAAATGTAGGCCCTGGTTCGCGCTCCCTTCCTGCCCGAAGTTGAACAACAACAAACCATGAAAATGTGTTCTCTGTTTCGAAACATTAAGAGAATTTATGAGGAACGTTGGGTGTAAGCCCACCTATGGTTGAATTCGAACTGAACTGTGCAACGTAACTACCGACATTGCTAATATGTACCCGCGTCTGCAACGATCGGGGTGTGCCGCAATGCAGGCGCAACCATGACGTCCTTCGCCCAAGAAGACGCCGCTGCCTTGATGTTGCTGGCGGGGATGATGTACCTGGGAATGGATGATGACAGCTCCCTCCTGGATGCTCTTGGTCTCGCTGACATCAACCAAGCAGAGGACTTCGTGGATGGAGCCGCCCGGACTGGACGATCCGCACCACATGCCGATCGCTGGTAGGAGAAAAGCGGCGGCATTTTAGCAGCTCCCAGTTTCAGCCTTCAGGTGCAGGTGCGTGGACATCGCTGTTGTAATTTGTCCATAACCCAATATTAGCGGCCCTCTCTAACGTCAGAGTAATAACTTTACCATTCACACATGTCGGCACTCCCCCATCCTCTGGAACAAATGAAAATTGCAAATCACACGATGCTAAGCGACGATGGATGGTCGGGGTCCTAGTTTGTTGTTTTTAGTGAGGGTTTCCCATTCCCCTCGAGCGTGCCGCGAGTTGTAAATTTGCGGGCAAGGCGTACCTGATTTGCGCGAAGCAAAGTGGAAACAACAACTTGTCCCCTGCCCATCGATGCCGCCCCCCCCCTCCCCCCCCCGCGTTTGCCATCGGGGTTGGGTATTGGTCGCTTATCAGCGATGTTGTACAACAAGCCGATCACTTCGTGAGCTCGGCAACCGGGGTACCGCAATTTTCCTGTTTTTATTTTGGCGGTAACCATGGATGGTGGTCGAGTACATTATGTTGTGCTGGGTGAAAAACCCTCACTCCGCACACGGGGGATAAACGCACCTCGTTGTGTTGAATGGGTCAAGCACCCTATTTTATAGGCAGTTACACGTTCCTTACAACTGTCTGGAATTGAAAGCACGCCAGAAAATAAATGAAGTCATACGCAGCTGTCATCAGTAGGCAAGGAAGTAAGCACAAGATGCCGAACACCCGTAGCAGGATGCAGCGCACCCTTGATGCGACTCGCCGAATACCTCACGACGCTTCGCGCTTGGTGATGTGAGAGCCTGGTCCGGTGCGAACCCGGCGTGCTCCGTCCCGGGTTTGTAGGGATGCGAGGTCAATGGTCTAACGACTACGGCAAGCACGAGTCTGAGTACACCCCCCCCCCTACGGATGCCATAGCGCTTAGACCCGACTTCTATGGTGAGATTCTCGTGGCATTCGAGTCCCGGCAATTTTCGCGGTCGCCGTAGACCTCGTGCGGTGTGCGGAGAGTTGATTGGTTGTTGGCTTCCTGAATTGCGTCTGGCTCGTTGGCATCAAATGAAGCTGCGGCGACAACTCAAAATCATGACAGCTTCCTGAAGAACACACATGGAACACATATGGATGCAGATTCTCGAATACCTTGACATGACCCGAATTCAGAGGGCTACAATAGCATTCTCAAGCTACACGCCAACACCACGCCTGCGTTGCATATGCAGTAAGACGACCTTCGCCGATCTTGTGAAGAAGCTCTACGTCACCACTGGCATGAGCTGGAAGGGTCGCAGAGGACCGCCGTTCGATTCGTGCGAGCGTGTAGCCGTGTTCATGTGGCGGCTGGGTGGAGACTCCACGGTCAGGCAGACCGCCCTTCAGTTTGGCCTGTCTCAGGGGACGGTATCTCAGGTGACCCTGGAGGTGGCAAGGAGGGTCGAGAAGTATCTTCGCGATGGAAGCGTCTGGCGTCCTAGCCCGGGAGAGCAGCGGGAGATGTCTGCAGCATGGGAGCCCGAGAAGCATCTCAGGTTGTTTTGTATTCGTACTTTTCTCGATTTGACCGCGCCTTTTGTCGAGACTTTGACAGTTAGGGGTGTCAATCGGGCAGATTTTGGAGCCAAAATGTGACCGGTCTATTCAGCGATTTGGGGGGGGNGGGGGCACACGGATTGGGTTCTTTGTCGGCTCTTGAGAGTGCCCGCCTATTATACTGATTAAACACTGCATCACTCAGTTTGTTTGTGCAGGTAGTTCTGCGCCCAGGCAGCAGCGTGGCTCTTCGTACGTTACACACACCTGGACACAAGTCCAATAGAGGCGACTCTAAGCTCGGTTTTCTCGTAAGGTTAAAGGGCGGACGAACAACACCAATAAACATATTTTTTTGAGCTCTTTGCTCCACGCCCAAGGCGACCTTTGCTCCTCTCGAAGAAGCAAGCTTACAGCCCTCTACCTTTACAGCTATACCACACAACAAACCGCATCCGAATCGCATCAGCCAACCACGAGATCTACATGTCTGAAAACGGCCCCTCCAGCGGGGCTGCAGCGTCCACACCAGCAGTCCCCCCCCCCCCAAAAAAAAACGAGGTCCGCGCCGTTCGGCAGCAGGAGGCGCGCTGCGCGAAAGCTGAATCAAAACAAAACGAAGTTTGAAGAGCGGACGGGACAGTGTATGGTTGCCGCGTCAGCAGAAGATAACACGCGGCGCGCTATCGAACGCGGCAGCCTCACAAGTCGTAGGGAGAACGCTGGAGGAAACGAAGGAGGAGTTGGTCAAAAGTAAGAAAGCTCAACCTCGCTGCCGCCGCCGCCGCCGCTGCTGCTGCTGCTGCTGTTNGCGGACGGGACAGTGTATGGTTGCCGCGTCAGCAGAAGATAACACGCGGCGCGCTATCGAACGCGGCAGCCTCACAAGTCGTAGGGAGAACGCTGGAGGAAACGAAGGAGGAGTTGGTCAAAAGTAAGAAAGCTCAACCTCGCTGCCGCCGCCGCCGCCGCTGCTGCTGCTGCTGCTGTTTTTTCAGCAGCAGCGGCGGCGGCGGCAGGTGTCTGCGTGGCTTCACCTCCCGGCTGCTGCTCGGGTGTGTCATGAGGCAAGTGTTCTAGAGTGGGACCGCGCAAAGTGTTGTGTCCCATAGCAGGGCACATCAGAGCACACACATGAGCGGCGCCCTCGCGCGTGCGCGTCAGGTGTTTTTAGGGAGCTTTCGGACCGTTCCGTGCAAATGTATTGGTCAGTCGATTTTCCATCAGGAAGATCCGAGGTAACTTTTTCAATTTTTTTCCTATAGGAAATTTGCTGCTTTGACACCCCTAACAGTCCCAAGGTCGAACAAGTGTGATTTCAGCATTGGTAGAGGAAGACGGACGTTTGTATGGCCGGCTCCAGTATGCACAAACGACCACTCCATACGGACGAACACTTTTGGCTCGTGGAGTTTGCCCAAGCTCCATGCAAGTGTACATACAACATTGCCGACCTGTGGGTACTCCCGTCATGAGCTCTTGCGAACTGCACAATCCGAAGACACCCATGAAATTTGAACAAATCATGCCGACTACCTAGTGCGCACACGCTACAATCTTCTACCGACCCGCGTAGTGTCGATCACCTGTACGATAGTTAGATGTCGGTGGTGAGTATGCCCGGAATGCCTGCGTCTCACTCAATGGACCATAATCCCCATCTCTCAAGGTACCCACGAGCCATGTAGTTGGGAAACAAATCCGCGGGCTAGCTTGTCGAAGACACAACAAGGACCATTCCCAATACCACGTCTATACTCCGCTGTAGGGTCTTGATCGAATGCAACAGATGAACAGATGGTTTAGATCAATGGACACCCGCGTTTATCCCACGCTCCTGCTAAGCTCGTACATCCCACACCTCGTCCCACAATTCTGCGCTGCTTTCCAAACGTAGGAGTGTGATCGGAGCCATCGACGGGAGTCACATCAAGATCCTGGCGCCACCAGACTCGCTCCAGACCTCGTACTACAACTACAAGCATTTCTACTCCATTTCGCTACTCGCGATCGTGGACAACGAGAGTATGTTCCGCTGGTTTTGCTCCGGAGCACCAGGCGCGTGCGCCGACAGCGGGGTCTTGACGGACACCGCGTTCTACGAGATGGTACAGGCACAAGGCCCAGCCAGTCAACACCAAACGGCTGTTCGCCAACGGCACGTGCATCCTGGGGGACTCCGCATTCGCCGAGTCTCCGTGGATGCGCACGCCAATCGGGGAACCCGACAACAGGGCGGAACGATTTTTCAACTGCAAGCAGTTCAGCATGCGCTTCCGCGTAGAGCATGCTTTCGGACGCCTGGAGAAGTTCCGTGCTCTTCTCAATGGTTTGAACTGCCACCTCGACCACTGCCCGACGATCGTCAACGCTTGTTATCCTGCAAAACTTTATCTTCATGCGCGAAGGCGAATCACCTGCCGACCACGGAGTCGACAATGCCCCGACGAGGAACGGCACTGGACGCGCACTCTCGCAGGGTGCCAGCCCCTTCGATTCTGAGAGGGTCAGGGAGGTCGACTACCTCCGCCGCAATTTCCTGCGGAGGGAGTGCGGAGTTGCAGGCTCGCGAATGGACCGAAAACGCAAACGAAACGAGAGGCTCGCGAGGAGGACCAACGGCACAGCGCGTTGATACACTGAGGCTCGTGGGGTTATAATCTGCAATGTCTGTTTTTGCCTGTAGTTTTCCTTCGCTAGAGTATGGTTACGGGGTCAGGGGACAGGCCGCCTGTGTCTCACTTCTTGTATGGCATACCGGTAGTCTGTCTGCACATGTCTTCATTTTGTGTCGAGGCCCTAGCAAGTGATGAGGCATTTAGAGGACAGGAGGTACAGTAATATGGAGTAAAATGGGCAAGCTAGGGGCTAGTCGTGCAATAGGGTGGTGTTTCCACTTAACCTTAGCATCAAACGTTGAGAGTCGGTTGAATGTTTGCAGAGTTAGGGTGTGCTTCAGGTAGGCTTGTAACGTGGTAACGAGACCCAAGAATGTCCAAATACAATGTAAAGTCTTTGACTGCAGTGGCCGAGTGGGCGTCAAGGATTCAATGCATACGTTGGGCCTATGTCATGACGTATTGCACCCCACAAGCCCCTGCAGCACCAGCCTACTGTGTGAGTATCGACACAACGGGACCGTGCGTGTGTATTATGTAGGAGGGGCACCCCGATAAGTGTCATGATGAGGTGAACGGCGAGGAAAAAGATCAAATTTTTTTATTTGAATCGCAACATTGAGTCGAAGTCAATGGGCTCAGCTCCGGAGGTTTCGTGTTCCTGGACGCAAACCAAAAATTTCGAAGCCTGCGCCCTAAAGCGTGGGGGCGCATGGCAGTCCGCACCCGGAGAAAAAAAGTGCCCTGTTTGTCGTCTTCACATTGCAATTTGTAGCCGTCACAAACAATGCTCCACGAACCAAACATGCTAAGTACGCCAACGCCGCACATGGTCACAGGTGAAGCACCATCCACAACAACTCGGTTCTCGTTTATTATCCCTAGTGAGAGGCACATGACAAAAGGGAAGCAACCGACAAACAACCGACCAAGAGGAATCGCAACTGAAAAATAAATAAATATACATAAAGACTATATATGCAAGGAAGACTTTCCCCGCTACATTTTCCAGCACCGGTGTATTTCTCTGACAGAACACACCGAGGCCACTTGAGAAAGAAATAACCGACAAGAGAAGCGAAGACACTGCACTGCCAGGCATGCAACATTCGCAAGAGTGTTGGAACAACTCGGACCAAAATATCGAAACAGCAGTTAATTCTTGCCCTTGTTGTACTCACATTAAATACTGTCCGTCCAGTACCATCTGTCCGTACCAGCCTAACACTTGACGGGGTCGATTCCCGTGGTCACAGACTAACTTACCCCAGAAAGGTATGCGAACATAGAAAGGGCCCGATGGGTCCGCAAGCCAATAGAAGTCAACGACAGATAGGCCACTCCGCTTGCCTCTACACGCCTTGCAAGGTGGCCCTAGATTGGAAAAATAAAAAGAACAGAAAAAGCAGTGCACCCGAAAAATAAAAATACCGGTAGTGTATATAGACTAACTCGCGCACGTCTTGCCGCTCACAAGGAAACCTTTTCTCAACAAGCCTGCGCTTTAACCTACGCCCCCCCCGCTCCTCCGAACCCCTAAAACACCGAAGATAATACATGTCCTCGGGCACACATTTACATACCGGCGACCCTCACGCGTTACTTCCACCACGTCTGGTGAGCTGTCGTCAGCCGCGTCTTCCAAGTCGCCGTCAGTCATACCGCCCTCTCCCCTAGCCCCCCCTCGACTGCGCAGTTCATCTTCGTCTTCCGATTCCGAGGAGGGCCAGTCACCTCCTTCTCCGCCTGTTTCCATAGGAGGTTCCTCCTCGGCATCCTCCTCCACCGCCACCGGCGCTGCCTTCCGACGACTTTACTTTTCCCCCCCCCCGCTGACACCGCGGACTTCCCCGGCAGCGTCGTCGCGAGATGGCACTTGGGATTTCCCGCTCGTGTCGCCACCTCCACCGTTAGCTGTAGCCATCTTGCGCCGTTTCCCCTTCCCCTTTCCCCCACCCTGACCACTGCTGGCGCCACCACCGGACGCACCAGCGGCACCAGCGGCATCTGCAGGCGCGACCTTGGGGCGCTTCCCGTTGACAACCCCCCTCATAAACTTCCGCTTGTTCGCAGCAGCGTTGCCGGAGAAGACGTGGGCCCTCAGCTGCTGGAATTTGTTGGGAGACCTCTGAATACGGCCCCCTTCCAAGCCCGTGCCTTTCTTTTTCGTGGCATTGGTGTAATTCTGCTTCTGCGTGACGAACCAGTCCCTGAGGTGTTTCATCTCCGCCCTCCCGAAGCGTTCATTCAGAAGGGATATGTCTGCGTATAAGTCTTGTTCTTGGCCAGCTCTATCTTGACGTAATGCACGACCCGAGAGAACCACTGTTCGTGGCCGTAGCCCTTGCCGAACTGAGCTCCTTCCCCTGTGACGATATAAAGTTTCGCGCAAGGTGATCCCAGCACGGAACAGAGCACATGGTGAAAAAAGTTAGCATAGGATTAAAGTCGTCAGGCCTTACATGTAGTCACGCCAATCATTGTGCCAATACGGATGTCAATCTGCTACCGCCGACAGTTCCGTCACATATTCGAGGATCCCAGTGCCTGTGGATATTGTACGGAGGACTGGACAACCTAGCTGTCCATCGTCCATGTTGTTTCCTTCCAGTCTCTCTTTTCCTTGATTGTTTTTTTTTTTGCTGATAGGAGTCGATCGTATCCAGCCAAGTGTTTTTTTCGTTTGAGTAACAGACACGGCATCAGGTTGCGCTCAGAGACACGATCAAACCGTATCGTTGCACTGAGCCCGCAAAGCGTGCACCGAGTGTGATGAGTCATACCGAGTCCGCGACTGGGGTTCTTGCAAGTGGGCACAGGGCATTCAATCAGCTGCTACCCCTGCTATACCCGGCCAACACTTACACCCATCTGGTGAGGGCATGAATAGGGCCAAGCTCCTGGGTCTCAACCGCGAACGAACATACCGCGCGAAAATGCGGGTTGCTGCATTTGTGCCTAATATAGTACAGAAGATCCGGGATGAATGTTGATGTACCTATTCACGGCAACATTGCGTAAAACCGTTCCGGGAACGTATTCTGAGATGGTCTTAGCCCCAGCGGATACGTCAGAGGGAGTATATTTCATCGGGAGTCGCACAGGTCGGAGAGACGGTATCGTGGAGCGAGAAGCAAGGCAACAAAAAAATTATTCATCTTCGATGGCACCCGGTCTTATAAATAATCCTTGAGGCAATCCTTGAAATCCGAAAGAGCGACCCTGAAAGAAGCTCATCAATCCATTAGAGGCAACATAGCACAAGTTTTGCGTAGACGCCAGCTACCCTCTAGTGCCGAACTCACGTTAATCCTGTCGCCCAAGCGCTCGAGCACAACCTTGTAGGACAACCTCCTTCTCCACCGCCTCATACTTCCAGGACTCCTGCAATCCCTCACCAAAGGCAGACAACAGTGTAAGAATAAAATGGAGCGAGGTGCAAAATAACGAGACAAGCGCCGCGGTGTTGTAGGCACCACCGCTGTCGTCATGTGCGGCACGCTCGTCAACATATCTGTGATTTCAATCTGCTGGCATCTGAAAGGCAATTACCGCCGCGGGCCCCTCACAACACCGCAGCATTAATGGCTGCGGTGCCGGGGGGCGTGGACGGGGGGGGGGGGGGGGGGG